TACCTGGAGAGCTGGTGTGGATGCTGGATCGGTCCCTGAGGGCTGGGGCTGCTGAGAGGCGCGCGGCAGTGCTGTGATCAGGCGCGCGAGGGAGCTCTAATCTCCATCCTCTGCTCCCTCGCGGGCTGCCTACTGATGACGCCATATTCCGGCTCCCGCGGCATCAGTAGGCAGCGCGCGAGGGAGCAGAGGGTGGAGATTAGAGCTCCCTCGCGCGCCTGATCACAGCACTGCCGCGCGCTGCACCGGGGGTCGAGATGGTGGCCGGGCAGGAGGGAGAGCTTCCCTCCTGCCGGTCACTGAAATATTGCGCCCCCAGTGCCCGTGCGCCCTAAGGCGGCCGCCTGTGCCGCCTTATGGACGCGCCGGCCCTGTGGTCCCCCCTCATTATTTTTAGGGTGAGGGGGGTAGGTAGGGGTTATTTTTTTGGGTGGAGGGGGTGGGGGCCAGGGGTGAGGACAATAGGTTCCCCCCTTATTCTAATTTAGGGCCCTCACCCACTGCTCAGGGGTGGGGGCCAAGGGGGGAACAATAGGTCTCTCCCCCTTATTCTAATTTAGAGCCCTCACCCACCGCGCAGGGGTGGGGGCCGGGGGAGGACAGTAGGTCCCCCCCTCATTGTTATGTAGGGCCCCCACCCACCGCTCAGGGGTGGGGGCAATATTTTTTTTTATTTTTTTTTACAGTGAGCGGCCACTGGCTGCTCACTGTTTACTAGACATGCCCCTATCCGTGGTATAGCGAGTAGGGTCTGAATTTACTAATACTAAGTAATCTTTACTTGGTATTAGTAAATGTGGCTGAAAGACCAATTTAGGTCTTTCAGCCTTTTGGTAGATAGCTCCCTAATACCGTGGGAATTAGGGAGTTATCTACTAAGCGGCTGCTTATTTTATGTTATTTTAAGTGATTTCCCTATCCACATTTGTTTGCAGGGCAATTGTCCTAATCTTATCCCCATTTTACTTCCTTTTGCAGCCCTCTAGCCCTTGGACTTTTTTAGAGGCATTTTAGTGCCCAAAAGTTCGGGTCCCTATTGACTTCATTGGGGTTCGGGCTCGGGGTCAAATTCGAGCCGAACTCGAACTTTTTGACGAAGTTCAGCCGAACTTGGTGAACCCAAAAATCCAGGTGTCCGCTCAACTCTAATCGTGGGGAATGATGGTGTATATAGATTGTACATCACTGCTAACAAAGACATAATCTGTTTTCCAATCTATATTTTGTAGAATTCGGAGCAAGCCCATACTATCATTTAAATATGACCTAGTGGATTGTACAAATGATTAAAGGGTTATATCAATACATTTAGATACATTTGAAAAAAAAAACTGAATGAATTAAGGTCCAATCCAGTACTTTTCATAGAGTAGCATTCGGGACCATAGGCTCATGCGCTGCACTTGATGTGATGGGCCTATGATTCTGCAAACAGAAACATTTAAATATATAAAGGGAATCAACACAGTAAAGGAGGAGACTATATTTAAAAGAAGAAAAACTACCACAACAAGAGGACATAGTCTTAAATTAGAGGGACAAAGGTTTAAAAATAATATCAGGAAGTATTACTTTACTGAGAGGGTAGTGGATGCATGGAATAGCCTTCCAGCTGAAGTGATAGAGGTTAACACAGTAAAGGAGTTTAAGCATGCATGGGATAGGCATAAGGCTATCCTTACCATAAGATAAGGCTAGGGACTAATGAAAGTATTTAGAAAATTGGGCAGACTAGATGGGCCGAATGGTTCTTATCTGCCGTCACATTCTATATTTCTATGTAAAAGCAACAATTCTCTGACTGACTGTGACAGTGCTGCGCATATGTGCTATGGCAGGGTATGAGAGCCAGTTAAATAACAGTCCCATTGTGATGGGATTCCAGCATGGTCAAAATTTAGTAGGCCAAAATCTCCATGTGGCATATGTGTATGTTGTGTCAGTTGGTTAGCTACATGTAGCTAGGATACTGTCATCAGTGTACTGAGCATGTGCAGGAATGCAGGAACTGAAATTGCACTTATTTCCTTTGTCTTGGATGGGCCATGTGGTTTGACTAGATGTACAAGTCTATATTCTGCTCATTGATTGGTTAAAGGTATATGTGGGTGTAGCTATTAATGGGAGGAGTTATAGTGCTATATAAGGAATGTACACTATGTGTTGGTCTCTCAGAATGTTGGAACAGGAGTTCATCTGAGACCCGATCGGTAATGTGAATAAAGGCCTGTTACTTCCTGAAGACCTGTGTCCAATATTTCTGTGTTTGGCTTCTGCATGCTTACACTGCAACATCTCCTATATTACCAGGAGGGCCTGGAGGTGTGGCTTGCAGCTGTGCTTTTAAACCTTCAATCTATGAAATATGCAGGTATGCATTAATTGGAGGTATATCTACTAAATAGCTATTTCTACTTTTTACCCATTTGGGTAGTGGAGTGTTCCTTTAAATTGAACCTATATTCCTGAAAATAATCATCAAAATATTATAGATTCCCTTTTGTCCTTCTGTCTTGCTTTAAAAAAAAATGAAAAAAAACCCAACAACTAAGCGATATGAAGACTACTCACGGCGTTTTCAGCGCCTGGATTTCTCAGCTGCCCCCAGCTTATCCTTTGTAATGTCAGCCTCCAAGGTCCTACACTAATCGTAAAATGCTTTAATTTAACATTTCCAAATCCTAACCATTTACATAGTTACATAGTTACATAGTTACATAGCTGAAAAGAGACTTGCGTCCATCAAGTTCAGCCTTCCTCACATTTGTTTTTTGCTGTTGATCCAAAAGAAGGCAAAAAAAAAAAAAAACAGTTTGAAGCACAATTTGCAACAAGCTAGGAAAAAAATTCATTCTTGACCCCAGAATGGCAGTCAGATTTATCCTTGGATCAAGCAGTTATTACCCTACATTGAAAGATTATATCCTTGAATATTCTGTTCTTGCAAGTATGCATCTAGTAGCCGTTTGAACATCTGTATGGACTTCTTCAGGCAGAGAATTCCACATCCTGATTGTTCTTACAGTAAAAAAACCTTTCCTTTGCCTTAGACGAAATCTTCTTTCTTCCAGTCTAAACGCATGGCCTTGTGTCCTATGTAAAGTCCGGTTTGTGAATAGATTTCCACACAATGGTTTGTATTGGCCCCAAATATATTTGTATAATGTTATCATATCCCCTCTCAGGCGACGTTTTTCTAAACTAAATAGGTTTAAATTTGTTAACCTTTCTTCATAGCGGATATGTTCCATTCCTTTTATTAATGTTGTAGCCCGCCTCTGCACTTTTTCTAGTGCCATAATATCCTTCTTTAGAACAGGTGCCCAAAATTGCACAGCATATTCAATATGTGGTCTTACCAGTGATTTATAAAGAGGCAAAATGATATTCTCGTCCCGAGAATGAATGCCCTTTTTCATGCATGACAATACCTTACTGGCCTTGGTCAATGCTGATTGACGTTGCACATTGTTGCATAGTTTGTTGTCTATAACAAATCCCAAGTCCTTTTCGTGTGTTATGCCTAATTCGCTTCCATTAAGGGTATACGTTGCTTGTGTATTCTTTACGCCGAAGTGCATAACTTTGCATTTTTCAACATTAAATTTCATCTGCAATTTGAGTGCCCAGTCCCCCAGTCTATCTAAATCCCTCTGCAGCAAAGTAATATCTTGCTCACATTGTATTATTTTACAAAGTTTTGTGTCATCTGCAAACACTGAAACATGACTTTCAATGCTGTCTTCAAGATCATTTATAAACATGTTAAATAGAAGGGGTTCCAGAACAGACCCCTGAGGGACACCACTTGCCACCTCTGTCCAGCTTGAAAATTTACCATTAATGACAACTCTTTGTACTCTGTTTTTAAGCCAATGTTCTACCCAAGAACATGCATTTTCATCTAGACTGATTTCCTTGAGTTTGAACACTAATCTATTGTGTGAGATTGTATCAAATGCATTGGCAAAATCCAAATAGATCACATCCACGGCAACACCTTGATCTATACTTCTACTTACTTCTTCGTAGAACGCAATCAAGTTAGTTTGACATGACCTGTGCTTCATAAAACCGTGCTGATTTTTGCTGATAACCATGTTCTTCTCAAAGAATTCTTGAATATTATCCCTTAATAACCTTGCAAATATTTTACCAGCCATAGAAGTTAAGCTCACAAGTCTATAATTTCCAGGCAAGGATTTTGAACCCTTTTTTGAATATAGGAACCACATCTGCCTTCCTCCAATCCTCCGGAACACTTCCTGAAAGAAAAGAATCTCGAAAGATTAAAAACAGAGGTTCACTTATTTCTACACTTA